AATTATCCAGTGTTTCAATGTCCTAAAGGCTGTGGGATAAGTAAAACCAACTCTGAGAAAATTTTAAAATCAATTATTTTCAGATCCAACAATATTACTTCTTCTACCCTCTTCATCTCCTTTATTGATTTATCCTTCCTCCTTATTATACTAAGAAATCAGTATTTAGTAGATCACCCATACCTGGAATTACAAATCAGAATTTCAAGGATATGACAGTATAAACACAAGGAAACAATTAGCTAGTGGTGACATTTCAGACACTAATTGGGAAAATATTCATTGGGTAGTGAGGTCAAAGGGCTGCCAGAGAAGAATAATTGACTAGCTGTCAAAAGGCCAAAGAAGTTGAAATTTCCTTCAACAAATTCTGCCCAGATTGACTTAAAGCTTTCAAAATAAAAAACTTGATTAGGTTGGATCCCTGAATTCTTGAAGATAGATTCTTATTAAATAAGCTTACAAGAGATTAATATATCGAGATCAAAACAGGCAATTAACTAATTTACAATGATGCATGAAAATGCTATATAGGTAAGAATATTTGCATTAGAAAACCATTATATTCTACATCTGAAAACCTAACTGTTTTAATTAATATTTATGGAATATTTATTGAGCAGAATTGCTGTATTAGCCATGAGTGAGCAAGTGACAATTTCTTTTACCATCTCACTGACTAGACTAACAAGAGCAGAGAGTGAGCATGTAGGTGCTACACCTTGGGCAGATGGGTGGACTGGGGTCCAAAGGAGCACATAGGAAGAGATGGAGAGGTTGACCTACTCAAGGAGATACATATAAACAGTGTAGTTAACTTTAAAATACTGGGAGAAAAATGGTGATTAAAGTAGGGAAATGAGTAAGATCCCAATGAAGAAAAGTTTTATAAGCCTTCTTGTCTACAAGCGGTTTCTCTTTTTCTAAGACCAATGTGGAACCTTGCCAGGTCTTGAGCAATTAATTAGAATTTTATTTTTAATTTGGCAATTGTGTAGAGAATAGGTTGGATTATAGAACAAGCATCAAGATCAGAGCTGGAAAACCCTGATGTAACTTACATGAGAAGCTACTAGATCTACGAAAATGGTAGCGTACCTGAAAAAAAGAAGCACATAGAAGGGCTGTTTAGGAGGTTATATTGACAGGAGCTAGAAATTTATTTTATGGATAGGGTAAGAGAACAGATAGTCCAACAAAATAAACCTCACTTTGAGGCTAAACCCAGGAGAAAGTAGCAAATATAGAGAAAATGCATTTAGTGGTGCACTTTGAGGACTGTAATTATCTTTACAACACTCAAGGGACCCAATAAAAATATTTTTATATACAGGACTGAGACTCAGGAGATAAATCTGGGATAAAGGTTTAGATTTGTGTATTATTATATAAAAGGTGTGACATTATTCAGAAAAAAATTGCTAGCATGTTGAGCGATATGGACCCTGGAATGTAAATTACAGGTAAAAAGAAAAGAGCCTGAAAAGAGTCTAAGACAAGATGACTGGGCATATGGAAGAAAAACTGGGAGGAAAGGACTTGCTATCACAAAAGTAAATAAAAGTTCATATTTCGCTAAAAATGGCATTAGTTATTTAAGAGCCAGGAACTCTGAATTAGATTTGGAAAAAAATTTTGCTTTCTGCCCCCATTCCCTCCTTCAATAGGGTGTGGGCATAGTGTTTTGGTGAGGGTGAGTGGATCACATGCACATATGAAAAAAAAAAGGTCAAAAAATTTTTGATGAAAAAGATAAACACATGCAATTTGCAGCAACATGGATGGCACTGGAAGGGATCATGCTCAGCGAAATAAGCCAAAAAGAAAAAGAAAAATACCAGATGGTCTCACTCATAGCAGGAATCTAGAAAACTTAAATAAGGGACCAGGAAAACGAATAACTATAAGAAAGTGAAAAGCAAAATCAACAAAAAACTACGAACCAGAGACACTTTTAGGGGGGCGGGGGTGGGAGGGGAGGGATTGGGGTCAGAATGGGGGGGCTGCAATTGTATGGGGAATATAAAAATAAAATTTATTATTAAAAAAAAAAAAAGATAAAACCCCCCAAAAAAAATAAATAAAAATGTATACTCACTAATAAAATGAATATTCATTAATAAAATGACCCACAATTGAAAAAAAAAAAAAATACAAGCAACTAAACTTAGAACGGTGACTAGTTAAAGGAAATAATAAATGTTAGTTAAATTATTATTTTAATTAGTAAATTCTAATTGCTTCTCATAAAGCATGACAATGGCAAAGAGAATCAGGCTGTTTTCTAAGAGAAAAGTTTCTAGAGAAAGCAGAAGGTAATGCAGATCCAAATATGTAAGTCTTCCAGCCCAGGAACATCAGTTTATGAAAATGATGCAATAGGATGTTATACTCTGGAACTTTGACATGATGGATTAAAAGGATAGAACTCCAAGATGAAATTCTGAAACAACAAAAAACTGCATTTAAAAATTTAATCCAATGACAATTTTATTTAGCTGAAAAATAACCAAATGTATTTATATACTATGTAAATAGGAATGACTTATTTAAATTGATGAAAGATTTCAATTGGTAGAGTATTTACTTATTTATTTTCCTCAGTTTATGATTTTCTTTCCCTAGGACCATTGCTGGCACCTATGTTCATGTTCAGTGACCTCTCCCCCCATTCTTTTACTGGGACCGAGTGATGGTTCTTTAGCCAAGATGGTCTGATCACATCCTGTCCTCTCTGGAATACTTAAGTTGTGATGAAGCAGTAGCAGGTTAGTTTTTATGGTAGAGCTGACATCAGAATAAAGGTAGATTGAGGTTATAGAGCAGCAGAAAAAGTTCACAGACAATTTGGGAAGTCAGAAAATATTGAGAAATACTTATAATACAAAGGGACATATAGAAATGATAATATATGACTTAGGCATTAGAAAAAAAAATTTTTTGATGGTTACAGCATTTTCTGAGGACAATTAGTGGCAGAAATTTGAGTGTGATGGATCAGAAAGGGAGTAAATGTTGATGTGGAACCAAGGTGAGTACAGACACCTTTTTCTTTTTTTTTTTTTATTTTATTTTATTTTATTTTTTTAATAATAAATTTTATTTTTATATTCCCCCATACAACTGCACATACCCCATTCTGACCCCAATCCCTCCCCTCCCGGCCCCCACCCCCCAATAAGTGTCTCTGGTTCATAGTTTTTTGTTGATTTTGATTTTCACTTTCTTATAGTTATTCATTTTCCTGATCCCTTATTTAAGTTTTCTAGATTCCTGCTATGAGTGAGACCATCCGGTATTTTTCTTTTTCTTTTTGGCTTATTTCGCTGAGCATGATCCCTTCCAGCGCCATCCATGTTGCTGCAAATTGCATGAGACACCTTTTTCTTTTAAGGTTTTTTGCTTCAGGGAGGAGAAAAATAACAGGATCTAAAGAGGTATTAGTGAAAAGGTACTATTTATGTGTGAGTATATTTTGTGTGTTTTTACTCATCTGTTAGTTGTTAAAATGGAGAGAATTAACCATACTTCATGCTGATAAGAAAGGAAGGTAAAGATACTAACATACTAACTGAAATATTCCACAAGTTTCCTGAGAAGGAAGGAAAAGAATCCAGGACACAAATGAATGAAGCAGCATTGGATAGTGTATTGGTTGGGAGGAAAAAGCCTGTTTCAGATCTTTCTTCTTGAACTTGTACATGACCATATGTGCAAGTACCCCATGTCTCTTCATATAATCTCTATATTACTGTCTGTGTCAAAATTTCCCCTTATTGTAAGGATTTTAGTCATACAGGATTTTAGTCCACCAGAACGACCTCATCCTAACTTCACTAATTACATCTGCAATTACCTTGTTTCATAACAAAGTCATCCACTGAGGTATTGTAGGTTAAGACTTAACATCTGAATTTGTTGCAGAGGGACATAATTCAAATTATAACAAATGGGGAGAGAAACACGTCTTCCATGGTATTAGGAAGAAAAAAGAAGAGATGGCTTTATGAGTCTGTAGATTTTATGGCAGGAATTTTGGGAGTTTCCATTTGCCTTTTTTTACTTTCTCTAAAATGGAGACAAAATCATTGGTAGAGAGGAAGCAAAAGTTGTAATTTTAAGTTTCCTGGAAGAGTTCTGAAAGGTATATTACACAAAATGAGAGAGAAGGCAGGCTGGGAAGAATGTCAGACAGCTTGCCTGCTACTGCAGCGTCAGCCTCTTATTGTCAGAGGAAATCATCGGTTATTTAGTGGTGCTCTTCAGATAATAATGTAGGGTCTCATGGAAAGAACTGCTTTGGTTATATAATGACTTAGAACAAAATGTATTCCAGTGTCACTACAGAAAAACTATTTTTAAATTCAGCAATGTACCCATTCAACTGGAAATCGGGTTAAATGTCAATTTGTGATTATCCCATTTTAAAAGAGAGCACTTTACTCTGTTCTCAACTTATACATAACTAGAATTTCTATTAAAGCATTCAATACAATCTATTTCTTCTACTAGATTTTGTTCTAAAGAGAGGGAACCCCTTATATATCTTTCTGTTTCTAAATATCCCCTAACATACCCTGATGTACAATCAGGAATCAGTGACCTTGAGGAGTAACAGCTACTCACTAAATGAGTTTGGGGCCTACTGAGAGTAATTTTTCTCTAAAAAGCCTTGTTCAAGGATACACATTTTCTAAAAAGGGCAAGTATGAGATTCATGCATAATTGTAAAATTCAAGAATGTAAATATTGTAGCGATCAGAGCACACCTAAATACATGAAGAAATGTACTCGGACGTCTAACTCATAAAATATTAGCATAACTTAGGACAAAATTATACTGCTAACTTAAAGTTGCTAATATATTTATCTCCATTTTCGCAATCCATGAGAGGTATCTATTTTGCAGATAACTCTATATCTGAGTCACTATTTTCATATACTAGTGAATAGGAGTATTAAATAAATTTACTAAGAAATAATTTTGCCTTATTTTTCAGAGTGATTATGTACTTAGTTTTTTTCTTTCTGAGCCTCTGCAACAAACAATTGACTCACCACCTGTGGACCTAGGTAAGTAATTTCATCATCCTTACTACATACAATCATTTCATTATAATTGTGCAAAATATATCCCAGCTATAACTTCTTCAATTTTCAAATTAAAAAGTCTTTTGAAGAGTAAGGCTTAAAGAGTCCTTTCTAACAATTTCTGAAGCTTTTTTAACCCCTAGAATATGTTCTTCAGGCTAAATTAAACTCATATGTGTTTGACCAATTAAAATAATTACATGATGTCACACCATTAATTCATTTCAATTAGTTGTGCTTTTAAATGGAATTTTACATCAGAGATTTGCTGTTTTCTCATGTAGGTGTGTCTTACACTTTATTCAACATCTTAGAAAGCAATAAAAATAAAATAGGATCTTCCCCTGGTGGTGCAGCAGTTGAGCGCTGGGCTGCGAAGCTGCCCGCAGCCTCTGTAGCGCTTGTTGGATCCCCGGCCGCCAGAGAGGGTCCCACATGGCACGCAGACCTCTCCTGCCGCACCCCCTGCTCCCCTCAGCAGTGTACTTCAGTCCTTCTGCCTGTTCTGTTCCCTGCTCTGGCTCTGGTGAATTCTCTCACCCTCCCGCGCTTCAGACTGTACCCAGTGCTTGTATAAATAAATAAATAAATCTTTTAAAAATAAAATAAAATAAAATATTAGGGCCTCCTTGGTGGCACAAGGGATTAAAATGCAACCTATGAAGCTAGCCACAGCCACTGCAGCACGAGTTCGATCCCTGGCCAGGAAGCAACCCACATGGCCCAGCAGACCTCTCCTGACTCGCCCGCTGTTCCCCTCAGCAGTGTACTTCGGTCAATCTGCCTGTTCTGTCCCCCACTCTGTCTCTGGTGAATCCTCTCACCACCACCCCAACTCTGGCCTGTCCCCCTGTTCTTGAATGCATAAATAAATAAATATTTAAAATAAATAAATAAATATTAGACAATAGTAATGATCATGATTATCTAACAATTTTACTCTTATCTTTTAAAGCTCAGTAGATGTTCAACCTCCTTCATAAAGTCTTCTTTGATAGACCATGATCCTGAGCTAGGATCTCGGCACAATTGCACACCCTATCTTCTGCCAAATGTATGTTAATTCTAATTAACTTTTCTAACATCTCACTTAGATTGACAAAGATCCCTTTTTTTAATATCTTCTCAATTCCAAACATCCCTGCTATAATTCCATTGCCATTGGCCTTCTGTTAACTGATATTGGTTTTATCTCATATAAGATTTGCAAACCCGTCTTTTGGTATACCTCATCCCCCTTTCCTCTTCACTTTATCCACACTACCTCCTGACTCTGTTTTTGAGATTACTCTCATCTGCTTATCACCTCTGGTTATATCTGACATCTTAGTTACTCACCCCTTAGGTGTAATAGCTTTGTACAACAGGATTAGGTTATATAGCGTAAATTGCTTGTTACGTTGTGTATGTCTGTGTCTGCCTCATTTCTCTTATTAGATCAAAAGTAACTTCAAATCAAAGAATCACTTCCCACTATGCATTGCTCTGCACTCACAAATGCCAAAGTAATGTATGAGAATTATATCATTCTCACTACCCCACTGACTATGTGACATCACTCCCTAAGACACTTTTCTTATATAGCCAACCAAAACAATATTAAATAAGGCAATTTCTTATGTTTTATAGCATTTACCTAAGAAGAATCATATCCACAAAATTTATTTTTTTTATTGTCACAATTTCCTGACATCTAAAAAATAGGTTATTAAAAAAAATAGTATTAGGTGTGGAGATGTTTTTACACTCAATGTTTAAAACTTGAATAAACAAACAAACCAAAAAAACCCCACAAGGTTGTAGAATTCTAAAGATGTCAAATTTTTGCAAAGGTATTAGGCTGATCTTTATTCTGTCGTTAAAATCCTTTAAATTGACCCTCTACTTTCCAAAAAATTAAACTGTGGATCACTAACACATTTATAACTTTGCTAATAGTGTTACCTATCTGTAAGGTATTCTGAAATACATATGCACACAGAAAATTATGAATACTACAAAAATGAAAATGGTTGAGAATTCGTTTTTTTCTGGTTTACTTGTTTCTCATTACAATTATAAAATACTGAAGATTTTGATTCTCAATATTTTTATATACAGGACTATGTAATATAGCCTATTATCTTAAAATGACAGAACACTTCCTCTAATCAGAACATGGAAATCATTATAGTAACAAAGATTAGAAGAAGGTTGTACCCTCATATTCTGTAATATTTCCTCTTTTATGCTTCTAAATTCTTCATCTTCTTATCACAAAATATCACTTGATTCTAATCAAGAAGCACAGTACTTATATTAAGCACTATTCTTGTCAGTTAGTTGAAACTTTAAGCTTATGGTTGTTAAATGATTAGAGGGTAAAATGATTTGAGTGCATTAAAATAATAATCGATGATGGAAAAAAAGATAAACTCTTGCCACTTGCAGCAACATGGGTGAAACTGGAAAGGATGATGCTAAGTGAGATAAGTGAGAAGGAAAAAAGACAAATACTGAATGATGTCACATACGTAGAATATACAGAGGCCAAACAAAGGGTCACATAAAGACAAACTAAAAACTAACCTTCGAATACTGATTATAGACCTGAGGCATTCCCATGCAGAGAAACGGGGAAGGTGAGAACAAAGTGGAGAAAGCACAGTGAACTATGGTGGAGGACTACAGGTGTTTTGGTTGTGGGTGGATTGTGGTAGCAACACTCGAAGGGGAAGATCATATACTTTTAACACACAAATAATTGATTTAAAGCAATGTTACCTCAAACAAATAAATAGTAAAAAATGTAACAAGCTATGTGACAAAAACTGGGGGTAAAATCCCTTGCTACCTGTTATTACTACAAAATCAGAAGTCAAAGGAATTATGAATTCTATAAAACACTATATCAAAGTCCAAAAATAACCCAAAAATAAATGACAAAATCTGTGAAATATTTACAATTTATTGCAAAGTTTCATTGCCTAACATACAACTATTTCCTAGAAATTGCTACGAAAAATGCCCACAAGTAAACAGAAAATTGTGTAAAGAATATGAAAAGATAAGCCACAATAAAGAAAAATTTAAGTGGTCCTTAACCAAAGGAAAAGACACTTGACCTCATGCATAAGAAAAATGCAGATGAAAATTACAGATACCATTTTTAACTCATCAGATTGGCAAAAAAAATCAAAAATTTAATTAATCAGCTTGACTACAAATCAGCATGCACCCTCAAACACTGCTGGTGGTAATGCAAATTCGTATAACCTCAATGAAAGGCAATTTGGCAATATTTATCAAAATTACAAATGCTAACTCCCTTTGAGCAATTGTGTTGTTGGAAATTTATCTTATGATATTTGTGCACAGGTACAACATGAATGTACATTCAATGTATCATCACAGCATGGTCTGTAACAGCTGCAAAACACTGGAAACAACTTACATGCCCACCAGTGGGGAACAGGTTAAACAAATGATGGCACTTCCACATAATGGAAAAACATGAAGCTACATTTTCAAAAATAAAGAAGTTTTATGCAGAACAGTAATATATTATTCCTTTTGTGGAAAGGGGAGGATAAAAGCACTTAATCATATTTGTTTATCTGGAGAAACTATGGAAGAGTATGTGGAAGAGTATATCTGGAAGGAGATATAGGAACTAACAAAATAGTGATAGGGGAATTCTGGGCAGAATTCATCTACTTGTTTATATTAAGTTCTTCTCAAAATTCTCCCTCTCTGGGTTCTTCATTTATGCTGTTTCTCTTGAGTTACGAATCCTTATTTGTCCCTTTACATCATGATGAATTAGATTATAGGTGTTAGAATTTATTTAGCCATCTACCATTTATTGTGTGCCCGGTCTTGAACCAAATGCCTTTGTTTCCTCATGTGTAAAATGGAGCTAACAGAGAGTTTATAGATTTGCCTTGAGGATTTAGTAAATTAGTCTACATAAAGCTCTCAGCCTGACAATTAGCACACAGTAAAAATTCTAGAAGCATTACATACCTGTTAGTACTATACTGACTACTAAAACTTCCAAGTGACCTGGATTTTCACTGGGTTCTGAATTCTGGTAAGTTTTCATAGATATTCTGGTTATAGAATACTTATAAAGGTACCTATAAAGGTATAGAATGGAATATCATCTTTAGTCAGTTCAAATAAGAGTTGTATGGTTAATATTTAAGCACTCAATCATAACTTTATGCTAATTTCTTACCTTTTAATTAAAACTCTGATTAAACACATTGAGTTTCTATTTAATAATCTTTTCATTCTTTTTTTATTTTTTGTTATTTTTTAAATTTTATATATTTTTACATCATTTTTCATTTTTGTACAATGTATGCATTTTCCTCTTGGTTATAGTCCCCATACAATTCTCACCCCCCCTTGCTTTGATCCCACTCCCTCCTCTCACCCCTGTAGTGCATCTCTGGTTTATAGTTGAATGTTGATTTTGATTTTCACTTTATTATAATTAGTCTTTTTCCTGGTCCCTTATTTAGGTTTTCTAAATTCCTGCTATGAGTGAGACCATCTGATGTTTTTCTTTTTCTTTCTTTTTCTTTTTCTTTTTTCTTATTTCACTGAGCATGATCCCTTCCAGCTCCATCCATGTTGCTGAGTTTGCATGAGTTTAAATTGCATGAGTTTATCTTTTTTGATTGCTGAGTAATATTTCCATTGTGTATATGTACCACATCTTCTTGATCCAGTCACCTGCACCCCTATGTTTATAGCAGCACTATTTACAATAGCTAAGCCATGGAAACAACCCAAAAGCCCAAAAATAGATGACAGATCAAGAAGATGCGGCACATATACACAATCTTTTCATTCTTTAATTCAAAAATAATATTCATTGAGCCTCAAAAGTCATGAGCAATTTTACAATGTTTATATTAAAAGTTCAGCCACATTTTTTATTATTAAATGCAATTAACCCAGTACTATAATGATAGTATCTCTAATTTAAAACTCAGTCATTGTAATCAATATATTTTACATAAGAAAGTTTATTATATTTATGTAATTATTTCAATTGTGAGAAATTCTCAATGTCAATGTCAATTATCACAATATCAATAATCCTCATTAACAATAAAATTATATACTTACAAACATGCAGTTTGGAAGAGAAACATGTGGCTCAGGTTTGATTTTCAAATGTTAGCAAGAATTAGAGAGTTCAGACTTGACTTTTAGTAAATAACGTGGACCACAATGAGTCCACAACAGAACACTTGGAAAACTTGTTATTAAAAAATTTCTTCTAAGAGAATATACAGCCAGAGATTATCAAGGGAAGTATTAGAAAAACTGTAAATTATGCTTAATCTTTGGGCTATAAAATGTAATTTTTAATTAAAAAACTAAAACTCTCATTTTAATGATGGAATGATTATGACTTGAAAGAAGAAAAATTGAGGTTACTCTTGCATTAAATAAATGCTAATTGTGATATTTTGGAGCAAGCACTGACTTATATCCCTTGTGGATAAAGGGGGGAAATTAAGCCCTAAGGGAGACTGTAATCCAGTAAGAAAATTGAGAAACTAGGGTGGTAATTAGGATGTAAATATTAAGTGATAAGGGTTGTACTAAGAGAGTTCAGAGGGAGGTAACCACAGAAACTATTTTGCATTTTAATTGGACTTTGTAGAAAGGTAAAAGTTTAATAGTCAAAAATGGTGGAGGAGATCATTTCAGATAAAGGGAATAATATGAGCAATGACTGGGAGGTAACAGTAGAGCATGTTTGTAGAACTGAACCCATGAACTACAGTATAGAAAAATAGTGGGAAATAAAACAGAAAAATTCAGTAAGAAGTAAAAGTCTGAGAAATTTAGACTTTTATATAAGCATTGGAAAGCTATAAGTAATACTGTAATCAAAAAGTAATTTTATAAAAGTTGCTGTGGAAAGATTGCAATGGTGATGCTATATAAATGGATTCTGAAGGAGGGGGAAAGAATGTACTAATAGTTCAGGCAAAAGATGAATCTCAAGGGCCTCCCCGGTGGCGCAGCGGTTGAGCGCTGGGTTGCGAAGCTGCCCGCAGCCTCTGCGGCACCGGTTCGATCCCCGGCTGCTCCCCGGCCACCAGAGGAGGGTCCCACATGGCGCTCAGACCTCTCCTGCCGCCCACTGCTCCCCTCAGCAGTGTACTTTGGTCCTTCTGCCTGCTCTGCTCCCCACTCTGGCTCTGGTGAATTCTCTCACCCTCCCACGCTTCTGACTGTACCTAGTGCTTGTATAAACAAAAAACAAACAAACAAACAAATAAATAAAAAAAGCCTCTAAAAAAAAATTAAAAAAAAAAAGATGAATCTCAACTGGGTGCTGAAGAGCTAGATAGGAAGAGATGACTGCAAATACATGGGAAATGGATATTAGTAATCACAAACATTTATTGAGATTACATTACAAAAACATTTGAATCTGACCAGTCAACTATTCTAAAGTCATAACTATCACCTCCATTTTATAGAAGTTGATTAACTTTGTTGTGATGACACAGTTCTAAGTGGTAATACAGGGACCTGAACCCCAGACTCCCTGATTTGTAGTGTCAACACTTCCTACATCCTCACTAATACTTCAAACCCATTGTACTGAATCTTAAGGGCAAAACTGGAACAAAAATGATACTGAGGTTGCAAATTTAAGTGAATGGGTAAAAAACAGCATCAATCAAAACAAAACACAGAATTATAAGGAGGAAGATTTGGTTCAGGAAGATTGAACACAAATTCTATGTCCAACCAACCAGCTTCTGAGGAGTACTGATCCGAAGAATGCTTGTTAGGCATATTCACTGGTCCAGTTTCAGTCTTATAATGTTTGATTTATCCTGTCATGAGGCATTTCCAGTTTAACCCACTGAAATTCTATTGTTTTATTAGGTGAGAAGTTTCCTGACAAGAAGCCTAAAGTGCAATTAGTCATATCATATGAGGAGGAGAAGCTGACCATACTAGTGAAACACATGAAAAACATTGTAAGTGTTTTGTTGCTAATAAAAACATGGAAACCTACATTTAGAATCACTTGCCTCCATTAGGCTGCTAGTGAGAAGAATGGGCTAGCCACAGGTTTAAGCGAGGAGTAATAAGCCGGTTACTATGTTCTGTCTCTGTATGATTGTGATCCTTGGGGCAAAAACTATAAAATATTTCAAAAGTCCTAGAATGGAAATGAGATTTTATTCAAAATAAAGTGACAGGATAATCATTGCCTGTTTTTTCTTTGTGTTTGTATTGTGTTTTGTATTGTATTGATGTCTTATTTGGTTCCCCTATATTTCTGCTGTAAGTGAAACCATCCGATATTTTTCTTTTTCCTTCTGAAAGTATTGCATGGTTTCACTTATAGCAGGAATATAGGGGAACCAAATAAGATATCGGTGTAAAAAAGTAAAAATAGTACAAAGCACAACAAAGCAAAAAATTAAAAATAAAGTGACAGGAAAAAAAACCTAATGAAAAAGCAAGAATAGTTTGAGTATTAAGGGCTAATGAAAAAAAACTAAAATTAGGTCCAAAGAATTTTTATCTATCTCATCACTCTGCTCTGCATGGAGGATTGACTCCACTTTCTCTGTGAAGCCAGGAACTCTTAGTGTTTCCCCTCAGATTCCCACTGTACCTTCAGTTTATATTAAGGAAAAATATTAACATACTCTGATGTAATTTCTCACAGGTATTTCTTGTCCTTCAAGAAATAATGCATTTTTGAGCATAGGAATCCTGTATTATCTCCTCAGGATATAGAACAACTTCAGTTAACCTCAAAGGAAAATGAAAAGCTGCTGTATTGCACCCCATTCCTCCCTAGATCTGGAGGGGGCACAGGCAGGGATGGCAGCTGGGCCATATAACTCATTAAGTAAGGGAGGGAGATTTCTTGTGTTATAGGAGAAGTACTCAATGATTCATGAGTCCAGATGCATTACACAAAAAGGTGCAACTATCAGCCTCTCCAGTCTAGTCAAGGGGTCCTCCAAAAGGTTAAATTCCCCAGGAGGTTACACCAATGTAGAGAAAGTTAGTGGCATTATTTTAGCTCTCTACTGTAGCCACATAAATCTTTGAGGATGCACTTAGAAGAACTTAAAAGAACAAATGTTCCTCAATATAACATGCTCTGGAATAAAATAGAGCTGAATATTAATAAATATTTGTCCCATAAACAAATAGTTACCATGATTTGCAGGGAATACATCCATTACAATTTTAGTATCAGCCAGGTATCCAAGGATGTTTGTAAATCTGTGACATTCATTCACAATATACGATTTTTATAATAGTTAGGCAAGCAATACAAAATGTGTTTTTGTAGAACTTTTGCTCATTATTTTTTATCGCTTTTGATAAAATAATCAACATAAATGAGAGGAGCAGTTGTTTAAGAAACACTGAGAAATCAGGATTCAGTTAGATATTTTTTTTTTTTTTTTTTTTTTTTTTTTTTTTTTTTTTTTTATAGAGGCATGCTTTATTTATTTATTTATTTGTTTGTTTGTTTTGTTCATACATGCACTGGGTACAGTCAGAAGCGCGGGAGGGTGAGAGAATTCACCAGAGCCAGAGCCGGGAGCAGAGCAGGCAGAAGGACCGAAGTACACTGCTGAGGGGAGCAGCGGGCGGCAGGAGAGGTCTGCACGCCATGTGGGACCCTCCTGTGGTGGCCGGGGAGCAGCCGGGGATAGAACCGGCGCTGCAGAGGCCGTGGGCAGCTTCGCAACCCAGCGCTCAACCCCTGCGCCACCGGGGAGGCCCTCAGTTAGATATTTATTGCTATATATGTGTTCATGCATTTTAAACATATATAAAAACATAAATGATAAAAGAATTTAATAAAGTGTTAATAGTACTTATATATGTACATGATGTATGACTGTTAAATGCAGAGTCCACTTAGAAAGTATGTATTTATCCTACCAATATCATTGCTCAAAACATTTTAAAATATTCCTGTTACACTGCTTTTAGATCTGGCATATAAATCACACAGTAAACTTGGTAATTTTATTCAATAGTCATGGCTAATATTTGATCAAAAGCAACATTAACCAACTTGGTCACCTATTTTATTCACCAGATGAATCCCCAAATTACTTTTGACAGTCTTCCAAAATGCTGTTACACTCAGATGAAATTAGACTACCAATAAGGGTATTCAAAATAAATGTGACACAGGCATGGAGCAAGAAAAGCAAGTGAGCAAGAGGAGCAAATGTTTATGATTTATATCAAGCTACAGGTAAATGTTTATATCAAGCAGAGCAGATTGAGCCTACAAAAGTTAATAAATCACTTAGGGCCACTACAGAATATCTGTTACCATCCCCTTTGAAAGCTATTAATAATGAAGTAGTACTTCCTAAGTGTAATTTCTCAGTCTACCAATTTATTCTAATCCTCTCCCCAATCTCGTAACATTGCCCTGAAATTCATTCCTAGACTTCTTTTCTACCACTCGCCTTGTACCTTAAATACCACTCAGATCTTTTTCATTTTTAAAACTCCAGTTTGGAACCCTCCTTAAAATCCAGAGCTGTATGTACAATTGATTACTCAACAACTCCAGTAGATATTTAATAGGTACCAAAACTTTATATATATGAAATCAAACTTCTGGTTACTGCCCCCTAACCTGGCTTCTTTTGTAATCCTCCTCGTTTTAGTAAACAGCAGTGTCATTTATTAATTGCTCAGGTTAAAATCCTTAGCATCACTTCGATGCACAAATTGCATCCTATTATTCAGTAAATTCTGTCAGCTCTGCTTTCAGAACAAATCCAGAAACCTACCAATTTTTTACCTTCACAGCTACCACTGTTGGTTTAAGCTACCATCATCTCTCACCTGAATTATTGGTGTAGCTTCTTGACAGCCTCCCCCTGTTTCACCTTAATTTCTTTATAATCTCTTTCTAATCTACCAGTGAAAATATCCCTTTGAAAATAAACTGAATCCTGTAATTCCTCTCTTAAGATCCTTATGGAGAAGGAGTCCCATGTCACTTCCAAAGAAAAGCAATTACTTATTAATGATCTGTGAGGTACTTCCAATCTGGATTCCTAGACCTCTTTAATCTCACTTTCTACTAGACTTCCTCATATTCTCTACTCCATCCACTCCAACCTCAGTGACTTCCTTGCTGTTCCTTGAAAATGCAAGCATAATTCTGCCCCAGGACATTTGTACCTGCAACTCAGTTTATCCAAAATGTTCTTTCCCAGATTCATAGTTCAAATTCTCTATGGTTCAATCTCATTTGTCCTGAAGAACTACATTTTATTTTCCTGCTTTACAATGTCACCTTTTCAGCGTTATCCTCTCTGACTCCCAAATGTAGAGATACCCCTCTTTGTTAACACTTCTTTATCTGACTTGTATCACTGCTGTAATCCAAGGATATGGAATAGGGCCAACTACACAGTAAGTATTCAACGGGTACTTTATCAAATGGAAGAATGTCCAATTACTTCTAATATGAACCACTGAGAACTAGGCTCTTTCTCACCTTCCAAACCTCATCACAACAAAGACACATCATGCCTTGCATTTTGCACAGCTTCTTCTAAATTACTATTTTTTCCCTTCTGCTTTTCTGAAGACATAAATAATATAATATTAATGAGAGGGAAAAAAATCTATGTATAAATTCTTGACATATTATTTCTCATTCTAAGTTTTAAATAATTATACTTTTTGAACCTTCAGCATTTTCACATGCCAATGTAATCAGACTAAAGAAGTTGTGCTTGATTTTATTTTAATATTAAAATTAATTATTGTGCCTGAAGTTCTATTATATTTAATATTACATTCAATGAAAAGAATTGTTTATCTTATATTAAATCTCTGAAGCTTTGCTCTAAGGATTATTTCCTGTGAGATCACAAGCTAAAGTAAACTTGCTAAAATTTCTTGCTTTCGTAGAAACAAAATATGACTTTTTCTAGTGAACAGAGACTGACAAGGTAATGTAGTTATTTAGTGGCTTAGGCAAGATTTGTAAAAATAGTATTTTAGTATATATTACAAAGAAACATGTAAAATAATTTAGGCTTTGCATTTCCCTGATTACAAGTGATGTTGAACATTTTTTCATATGCCTGTTGGCCATTTGCATTTCTTCTTCAGAGAAGTTTCTTTTTAGCTCTTCTGCCCATTTTTTGACTGGATTATTTTCTTTGTTTTTGTTGAGTCTCATCAGCTCTTTGTAGATTTTTGTGATTAGTCCTTTATCATTAGTGTTGTGTGCAAAAATGTTCTCCTAGTCGGTGGGGTTTCTCTTTGTTTTTGTTATTGTCTCTTTTGCTGTGCAGAAGCTCTTTAATTTGATGTAGTCCTAGCTGTTTATCCTAAGTATTTACCCAAATGACACAGAAACAGTAATTCCAAAGGGCACCTGCATGTCTATGTTTATAGCAGCACTATTTACAATAGCTAAGCCATGGAAACAACCCAAATGCCCAAAAATAGATGACTGGATCAAGAAGATGTGGTACATATACACAATGGAATATTACTCGGCAATCAAAAAAGATCAACACATGCAGTTTGCAGCAACATGGATGGAGCTAGAAGGGATCATGCTCAGCAAAATAAGGCAGAAAGAAAAAGAAAAATACCGGATGGTCTCACTCATAGAAGGAATTTAGGAAACCGAAATAAGGGACCAGGAAAAAGACTAATCAATACAAAATAAAAATCAAAATCAACAAGCAACTATAAACCAGAGACACACTACGGGGAGGGGAGGGGAGAGGAGGGGAAAGGAAGGACTAGAATCAAAATAAGGGGGGAGGTGCAATTGTACGGGGAATATAACCAAAATGAAAATGCATACATTGCGCAAAAATGAAAAAAGATGTAAGAATTATATAAAATAAATAAATAAATAAATGAAATAAATAAATGAAATAAAAAATAAAAAAATAATAATTTAGGCTTGAAATATATTTTAAAATCTTACATTTTCCCATGG